CTTTGTAAATATTACATTAAATGAGGAAAAGGTAGTCCTTTGAAGGTAAGTCTGACTAGGGTAAATAGCTATAGAATTTTTTTACAAATGTCTAAAAAGACTCCTGTGTTTTTAGCTAAATTCCACAAAATGTTGCTGTTAATTCGAGCCGCACATGCACACAATACACACACACACATGTTGCCCCGGGCAGCAGTGTGTGATATTCCCTCAGGTCTGAAACATAATACATCGAGGAATGCTTAGTCTGAACTTCTAACTCCCACCGCTGATCACCATTATGTTTTCTCACCACGGGACGCTCACCGACCGACACACTCACACTCGCACACACTCAAACACGTGCACACAGATGAACTGCGGGGCTGGGTGGACAGCTGTGGAGTCAGAGGAAAAACACACACACACACACACACACACACACACACACACACACACACACACACACACACACTGACACACATCTGGAGAAACGCTTGTTGTGTTGTCAGGTGGTCGGCTGCCAAAAAAAAGAGCAAGGCTGAGGGAGGAGGCGTGATGACACACACAAGATGTAGAGCAGAGGGTTTATACATCCCATAATAATCATTTTAATGGAGCTAGGGAGTACATAAGATATTACATCAACTACATATCCTGTGTGCAAGAGTAAAGTCATTTTGAAAAGGGTACTGGTTAATCTATGGTACATATTTTCAATATTTTTCCACGTTTGCAAGATTTTGTTGCGCCCATATTGCATGAAATAACAGGATAAAACCCTAAAAGTTGAATATTCATGTAAAGTTAACAATTTGGAGAAATATATTGTATGCTATAAATGTTTTATATTTAATAGTTGAAGGGTTTGTGGGGTCTTTTTTTGGCTTTAAGATGCACAACTTCGAGAAAAGTTTCACCTTAAAGGTAGGGTAGGTAAGTTTGAGAAACCGGCTCGAGATCGCTAGAATTTGAAAATACACAACCGGAGAAAATCTGCCACTTCCTTACAGAGCCCCTCCTCCAACACACACGAACGCGCACATGACCAATGAGGGCACGAGATAAGTGTGTGCCCCGATGGAAGGCTGACAGGCAGGTAGGCCATCCAGTTATTTTAGCCGGGCCGGCTCAAATGATTGGTCGTGCTTTTTACAGTACTACGGCTTCCACAGATGAACATTTTTTTATGGATTTTTTGTCAAAGCACTTCAGATATTCATTGCTATCGGGATGTTAAGAGCATTCCATGGAATATAACAAAAAGTGTATCTCGAGCCGGTTTCTCAAACTTACCTACCCTACCTTTAAAAGAAATTCGAAAATGTGTTTTTTACATATCTAGAAGACATAGCAACATTCGCTATATCATTGTTTTTGATCTGTTTTCTGGTTTTAACCGGTTCTTGAGAGAAATGTCTTGCTCTTTAGCGGATTACGGCTCCACTATGTTCACCAGCTCTGTCTCTCTGCTGTTTAAGGGGTTTTCAGAAAAGTTATGGGCCAACAAACTAAAATAATGAGCTGAAATACACTAAACCCCTCCATAAAGCTGAGGGGAAACTCGAGGTTTGCAACATTTTTACATTACACAAAATCCATTGATCCCTTGTCCCAATAAAAAATGTTTATTAGAGCAACTTTTATTGCAAAAATATTGTTTCACATTTGGAGGGAAGGACATTCACTTTCACAATAATCCATCAGAGGATTGAAGTATTTCTTGCATCACTGCAGATTTGGTCAATTGTATTCCTTTCTAAGCACGGCGATTAGTTGACCTGCTTCTATATTGTTCACCTTCTTTTATATTAATCATCATATTAGGGAGTGTCATAATGTTTCCATTGTGTTGTTGTCTTAATATGTCTCCACTTGACTTTAATGTGAACATAAAATCTCACCAGTACTGCATTAAAAACATGGGAAATAAGTTGTAGCATTTTCTGTTCCAGGAATGATTGACGTTAGATAGTTTGGGAATCAACTTTTTTTCCAATATTTCTGTATGTTTTAACTTCTTTAAATAGTATTTAGTTATGTTGCACCTTAGGGTTGAATAAACTGGCCTGTAATTAAACGTTTGCTGCTTTCAGTGTCTGGGAAAGTAGTGCCCTTCTTTGAATTTGCATAGACTTTCCCGTAAGCAATGTGTTTCACCAACAAATGCTCTGTTTCAGCTTCCAGTTTTTTATGTTATACGGGAGCCATTGCCAATAAAGAAGCTTGTTTCCTTGCCTGACTTTTCATACGTTATAAAAAACGTTTCATACTATTTATCTTCAGTGTATCTGGCTATATCATTTAAAGGCTGCTGAGTGCATTGGTCTTTTTCTTTTGGCTACTGGCTCTAAGATCATAAATCTGAATGAGGTGGGATTAGCAAACCTGTAAAGTGGAGACTGAACACTCAACGATCGTGTTTCAGGAGTTACTAACAAGAGACTGTGCTTTAGGTGCTGTTTACACGAGAACGCAAACTGTTGTATCCGCTACTTTTCTCTTTTGTATAGCCCGTTCGTTCACACGAGGCCGTAACGGAGACGCGGAAACGATAACGGGTCCAAAGGTGGATAGATCTGCAAACGGAACACTCTGGGGGGGCAAACGGCTCCGTGTGTACGCCCTATACGATCATTTCCTGATAACGATGAAGCCATAGCCCCACCTCTCCCCACCTCTGCTGCTCACTGCTGTAGCATGGTCAGTAGCTACTGCTAGTGCTACTGACCATGCTACAGATGTTAGTGCAAAATCTACAGCTCCTCTACCACAACCATCAGCAACAAGTGGACATGGAGAATTATGAACTACATGTTGCTAAATCCACCGCGGGGCATAAACAGAAGGGCAACCATGCTCGGGGGTCTTCTTCGCTGCTTTTGGAGTATTTTGTGGCAGAAGTACAGCGCCACTTACAGGCCCGGCATATGTACTACAGCGTCTCCAGCGCTCCCGAGCGGTCTCGTGTGAACGGAAGACTTTTTTGATATCGTATTCGGTTCGTTTGCGTTTCGTATGCGTTTGCGTGTAAATGGGGTCTCACACTTCTACCTTTGTTAAAAATGTCTGTATTTACAATTTTTACCACCTTAATTAAGCGTGTTTGCATGCTAATTCTTGCTTATTTGCTAACTAAGTAGGCTACCACATTGAATCTGGCTTTGACACCTCTGTTTCCTCTCATTCAGGAAAAAAAAGTGGTTTGACGATATCCTCGGGGAAAGAGGGAAGAATAATCCAATTCTAAAGCGAGTCAGTATTACCACATAGGATCATTAACGTTTGCACACCTCACTGTTCTCTCTTTACACTTCTATCTTTGTTAAAAACGCAAAAAAAGGTATACAGAATAATACATTCAGCATGCTCGCAATGACGGCATTTACCATTTCTACCATGTTAATGTACCGTGTTTGTAAGCTAATACTTGCTTATTTGCACCAAGGTGGAGTACAACATTGACGATATCCTCGGGAAAAGAGTCAACTAAAAAAACAAATTCAAGTCAGTATTACCACATAGGATCATTTACATATCTGCAACCTTCACTGGGATACATATGCAAGTGTTTGACTCGAGGCATCAGTGCAGGTGTAAACTTTGTGACCTTGAGATGTTGAAATATCATCCAGACAAAGACCTTATGACAGAATCTGCCCTCAAGGAGTCCGAAACACATTCAGCTCCATCACACCAGGCGCTTTGGTATGGAAAATATTTGACTCTTTTTTCACCTGAATTCAGATTTTCTTATTTATTTCAGTCCACATTTTTTATTGTCTTATTCCGCTGCTGTCAGAGGAACATGTGGCGTTCACATCTGGTTCAGGCCCCCAGGTGGATTACACTGCAGTTTTGCTCGAGGAGAGCTTTACTCGGGACCATTTGTCTGGAACGGAAACAAAGGAAAGTCTGTTGTTAAAACCACTGGATTCAATAGTGGGTTTCTTGCAAACCGACCACAAGATTTATCATATCATCGTTTACTATTCATGGGCAGATTTTGATCATTTGAAAGTGTCACAACCATGCAAGATGATACAAATGGAGGACAAGTTTGAAAATATTGTGGTTCAGAGCAAAAGCAATTATCCCCCCTGCCCCCATTTAACACCCCTGGCCTGATTTGGCTTCACAGCTGGAGTGAGGACCTTATATTTCATCTGTGTCTTTCTCTGGTAATAACTGTCTCTGCCAGAGGAGGGAGACCAATGCTCCAGCTCTAAAGAAACATGTGTAAAATGTTTGCAGATTTGCAGAGTCTGTCTGAGAAAATATGATTCTGTATCTAGAGACTCACTGCTCTGTATTACTGTGATTTAATACAGGATAGGGGCTTTATAAGCATACAGAAATACGCTGTATGTAGCAATAAAATCTATATGTAGTCATTTCCCAACGAGGTCTCATCTTTGTGTTCCCACAGCTCGGGAAATAGAGTTGGAAAGCAGACTGAGAATGAGCTTTATTTAACATTATTTATTTATGTTAAAGCAAATAAAATCATTAGAAAAAAAGACAAAAGTGTCAATTAATTAGCGTTGTTCTTTCTTACTCCTTTTTTCTGATTTTTTGAACTCATATGTATTGATTTTTCCAGCAATAAAGAAAACCAAAATGGGAAAAAATTGAGAGACAGTAATTTAACAAAAAGCTTTTATTATTTATGACACATTGCTCCAATCCCTTTTCAAGAAAAGGAGAGAGAGAAAGAGAGACAGAGACAGAGAGAGAGAGAGAGAGAGAGAGAGAGAGAGAGAGAGAGAGAGAGAGAGAGAGAGAGAGAGAGAGAGACAGAGAGAGAGAGAGAGAGAGAGAAACTACTCTTCGGGAGGAATAGTAGAGAGGAGAGAGAGAGCGCGTTCTCTCTCTCGTCTCTCTCTATCCCATACATACGAGCTATACATATAGCGCATCTCCACGCGGATAGCTCGCTCGCCATCTAGAGATGACGAGAGTAGAGAGAGAGAGAGAGAGAGAAGAGGGAGAGAGAGAGAGACGTAGAGCATTCCTCCATAGCTCCAGGGTGATGAAAAGGTTAAGCCTGCCCCCTCTCTGCTGCTCTCTCTCGGTTGCAGCCCCTCAGTGTGTCGCTGCCTCCTCCAGCAGCTCCCTCTTTACGCAGCAGCAGCTCCACACTCAGACCCAAACTTTACCTCGGTCTCTCCTCTCCTGTCTGCACCGCCTTCCTCCACCATATGTGTTTCTAGCTCCATGAACAGCTCCCCCGGACGCATGGAGATCTAACTTTTGGTCACTTGTGGAGTTGGCTGTATTGTTTTCTACACTCCCTTGGTTTGATGTCTGCTCATGCGTCGGGAATGCCATGGCCACTCCGAGCGCACAGCAGCAGCACCAGGATTATTTCAGGTCTGTGAGCAGCGAGTCCACCACCTACATGATGGTGCCGGCCGCCGGGCCCAGTGCGCCTCGGCGCCGGGAAGCACCGTCCAAAACCTGGGTGGCGATGGTGGTGATCGTGGTCGTGGTGCTGCAGATAGCCTCCACCACCGGGCTCTTCCTCTACCTGAACATGTCCATATCGCAGGTAAGGGGACGCATTTAAAGTCGCTGTATTTAACTGGGAAGTTTGGAGCACCTGAAAGTCGCTTTATGCACTTTTAGATTGATGCCAGAAAAACACAGCGTCTAGTCTATAGACTATAACTTTTTTTAGTGAGTATTTACGATGCATTGTTTCGCATTGACACTTGAGTTTAAATCACAGCTGAAAGTCGCCCGCATATGCACTTTAACATGTAGATAGATGCAATAAAAACGCAGCGAGTCGATAACTATTTTAGTGATTTAAATCCTTTCTGGAAGGAGTTTGGCTTTGTTCCTGAAGTTTCTCTATCTGATCCATATCGCAGCGAGAGTCTTTACGGTGCAATCCTGCAGACAAGTCGCTGTTTCGCATTGACACTTGAGTTTAAATCACCGCTGAATGTCGTATGCATTTTAACTCTTATCACGATGCTATAAAAACAGTTGTAATTATAAGTATTTTGTGATGAAGTTAAAGTTTCGTCAGTGGTGTAATTCATTTCTGGGAGAAGTTTGGCGAAGTTTCTAACTTGGAAAGCTGCTTTTCCTGGCTACACTTTTAACAATGAAATCCAGATTTTACAAGACACCTGGCAGAAAGAATTAGCAGTCTGTCTGTCAGTCTGATCGGCAGCGTTTATCTAACTAAATGGCTTAAAATTGCGTGCTTAAATGAACATATTGTAGCTATTTGGGCAGAAAGTAGTTGTAGATTGCTTTCTAGGAGGTAACAGATGTCGTGTGCAGAGGTGAAATATGCAGGTCAGTGCTGCAGTTTGGGTATTAACCCCCTGGGGTTTCATTTAAAAGCATTTCATCCCCTGGAATAAGACGATACTACTGCGCCTGTTGCTAGTTTTCAGCTGTCAAGACCTTTAAAGGGATTTTAAGTGTTTAATATCCTACAATCTTTGGAAGTAAGAGTGTTTTTCTGCCTTATTTGCACAGCTGAATAATACTTGCTCAGACATGAATTGCTGCTGTCACCGCTAAGTTAGCGTGTTTACTGAGTGTTGTCATTGAGATGTTGTTCAGTGAGTTCCAGCAGGGGAAATTACACACTGGCTAGTTAACTCAGCAACTTTCAAAAGCGTGTCATCATCTGTGTTGTATTATGTTGAGTGTGGGGAGGCATAAAAACCTGGGAGAGCTCCAGTGTCACGTCTCCTTCCTCCGTCAGGGAGCTGGTGTGGAGGATAAGCCTGATGCATTGTGATTTAAAAGTCACAGACACGATTGAATCTTAACGTGAGGTCAACAGCCAGCATATGGTTCCAGGTACACCTCACAGGATTGGGCACTTTGAAAACCTGCGGGGATGAAGTTTGAAACTGATGTATGAAGCTGATGATGTCTGAATTCCAGCAAGAGGCCTCTTTAAACTGTAACGCGACTCCTTTTCTATTGGGAGAGAGGAAACTACTTTCCTGTGCATCTCCACATGAGAGGGATACCTTAGCATCTCTCCAACACACTTTCTTTGGCAGACAACGCTAAATGTCCTCTGGAGAATAAGCAGACATCTGAGTTTCCTTAATGCTTTCACAGCTAGTGTTCAATCAAACAGCAGGTATACAGTTCATGTTTGAAGCTCGCTGCTTCTTTTATGGAGGAAGATGGATATTAATCAGGCTCTCAGTGTGAGGGGAACATTTTGGTTTACAGAAAGGAACACAGCTGTGCTTTTCTGGCGAGCCGTATCATTCTTTGCAATAACTGGAAACTGAGGGAGATGAGGATGCTTATTCTAAATGATTAGTTTTATCGGTTTGTCATGTTGGTAGGAGCGTTCACTTTGATCAGATGCCACATTTAATTGTAAAGCCTTAATTAACCGATTACGATGGTGAGTCATTGCATGCCTAGTGGAAACAACAGTCCAGGTATCCTTTGTGTATCACCAGTTATTGTTTTAATCTTCATGTAGAAGTGCAGATGTGGTTTTAATAGACTGTTCATACTAGGGCTGTGCGATTATGGCAAAAATCCTAATCACGATTATTTTGGTCAATAATTGATATCACGATTAATAAAAACGATTATCCATTTACTTTGAAAACATCCATTTATTGAAACAAAAATGTGAACAGTATGTTTTTAACAGTTGATTACCCTGAACTTTAAGTATAATTCAACTGAAAAACCAAAAAAAAAATATATATATATTAAATTTTTTTTTTTTTTTTATAAAAATAATAATCGTTTTATTTCGATTACGTTGTTTTCGTAATCGTTGCAAGCCAAAATCGTAATCGAGATTAAAATACGATTAATTGCACAGCCCTAGTTCATACCGCTCTAGAATAGATGCTTTTGTGTTAAAAAAGACAGGAAATACCCAGAAAGGGAGAATACAGGTTGGACATAATGTATATCTGTGACACAACATTATATTGAATATACCAGGAACACATGCTTCTCTATATGAAATGATTGATGACGTCTGCGTTTTGAAGCTGAGAAAAAGCAAGGAAACGTCTGTCTTGGATCATCGGAGAAAAGAGACACATTTGTGACATGTAATGTAAACATAAGAGGATGAAAACTGACTTAAATCACCCATTATTGTATCCACATTGTGTCAGGACAACCGACAAATGTTATTACCATTTGACCTGTATCTTTATGAGGTAAATGATATTAAAGGAAACGTAACAGAGTCTGCCTGCTTTCAATTCTCTCACTGGCAGAAAGCAACAATCCAGTCTCAGCAGATCAGATGTCTTTTTAAACTTTATGGGTTGGATAATAATAAGTTAAGATGTACATTTATTAGAACGATTAAAGTCTTAGTCTCAACTTTGAGCCGTCCGCCTCGCCCCAAAATGAAAAACATGGAGCTATGTATCAGCATGTGGGGAATCCCCTGGTTCTCATGCGAAGGCCGGCTATTTTTAATCTGGAAACAGGCCCTTCTTTGAATCTCAGTGCCGTTACACCCCATGCCAGCCTGGTAAAGACAAAAGACGGTGGGGACAATGAGCACAGCACAAAGAGGAACGCTCCGGTGTTGCCCCAGCGCTTCGGCATTCACAAACAAACAGAGACACACACATGTAAACAGAAGCCCCTCGGCTGGTTTGTTGTCCGTTGTTGCTGAATGAGGCAAGCCGGTTGTTTACTCTAAACATAAATATGCTTTGTGTCAGTAAACGTGAGACAGAATGGAGGTTGACGTGGACAAGCATTCCTCAGAGGCAGAAATAAATACATTGGTTGACTCACGTCCTTAATAAGTAAGGGACTTATCCAAAATGTCAAAAATATATTGTATTTCCTCTCGTCTTTATGTGCTTTTTAACAATATATATATACATTTTTGTTAAAGTGTGTGACATGTGGGTATTTTCTTGTGTGTGTGTGTGTGTGTGTGTGTGTGTGTGTGTGTGTGTGTGTGTGTGTGTGTGTGTGTGTGTGTGTGTGTGTGTGTGTGTGTGTGTGTGGTGTGTGTGTGTAATCAGCATTCCATTCTTTACACTTCATTGGTCCGCTCTATTATTGTTTGGGTTCACAGATCTGACCACCCTTACATGCAACAAAACCCCCTTGTGTGTGTGTGTGTGTGTGTGTGTGTGTGTGTGTGTGTGTGTGTGTGTGCGCGTGTGTGTGTGTGTGTGTGTGTGTGTGTGTGTGTGTGTGTGTGTGTGTGTGTGTGTGTGTGTGTGTGTGTGTGTGTGTGCACGTGTGTATGTGTGTGGTCTGTTCACACAAAAGAGGTGTCAGCTTGTCAGGGTGTGTGGAGATGAGTGTGTGGTCCGTTTGGCCAGTTCTTGTCTTTCCTATCTGTTATTGTGTGATTTAAGTGTGTTTTTATATTTATGATCCATGATCTCAGGCTTGGTTGTATCCACCCAGCATGAGGAGATTAGGAAAATCCTCAAAAATGTGTGCTGTGGGCAAAGAAACCAGAAGGTAAATTCAGTGTTATAGATCAGAACCAAAGGCAGATTTGAGATTGAATTAGAGTTCAGCCGCAGGAGGTTAAAGGTCAACGACTTTGAATTAGATGAGGTAATCAGGGTCATCTACCAGCCATATTGAAGATCGTCCATTCCTAACAACCATCAAATTAAATGTCAAAAGCCCACAGGCAACAGGACAACTGCTGGGAAATAGTGAGTCCTGAGGGCCTGGAAAACTGGATATTTCAACACTCCATAATATCCAATATCTCAGATGATATATAGTTTAACTTCCCGATATTCTAAATATACTTAACCGCCATACTCCTGACAAAATTCAAATTTCCCTTCCAGACCAATTAAGTGGTTTGTAGACTCAATTTCAGGCAAAAAAACCCACTTTATTTCACAGTTGAAAAGGGGAAAAACAATCTGTGAACAAACTTGGTTTCTTTGTGGCGTTTCTCCTTCCTGATAAAGATCCTGATAAGCACGAGGAGAGATATCGACATTTAATATGCACCACATGTCCCTCAGCGAGAATCTAAACAGGGACCTTTTGGCATCATGGCTACCATCTTCAACACAAGGCCACATATTGCTTGAATTGAAGAGTTGGCGACACATAACCTCAATCAGCGCCTTCAATTTAACCTGATAGCTACGATACCTGGTAGAAGGTCCGTCCACACACACACACACACTCAGCTTGTCCTCCCTCTCTGTGTGGCCTCAGCTGTTGTTGCCAAGAAATGTTCTGACGCTCCCTCCTATAGCGCAGTATAGAACAGTATATGGACTCCATGCTGTATATTTATCCCTGAGTTTCACACTGGATCAGGTTTTATTGGTGAAGGTGGAGGTCAACGTTAGAGAATCAATGGAGGTCCTAACAAGAAACGGCAATGTGTGTGTGTGTGTGTGTGTGTGTGTGTGTGTGAGATCATGCAGCGCGTGTGCATTACAGCGGGAGTGTGTGTGAAGGAGAGGAACTTTAACCTCTCGTCCACACACAGGTGCACGCACACACACACATGTTCATGATCAGAAACCAATTTAAAAGTTCAATCAAATCCTTCAATGCAAACATTTTGATTGA